GTCGTCGTCGTCGTCGTGGTGGTGGTGGTGGTGGTGTGTTCTTCTTCTTCTTCTTCTTGGAGAGATAGGGTATTTAAAAATGTATTTTCTTTCTGTGCATTATTTATACTCGGACACTTTGTTTAATTGTCATGTTACATTGTGTCTTTGTGTGTGTGTGTGTGTAATATATATTTTTTTGTGGGTGGTTGGCGGGTGCTCTGGTGTGGTTTGCTTCTTCTTTCCTATGAAACATCTATCGTCCTTATCTCCCCTTCTTCTTATTTATGTTTGTTACTCTCTTGTAACACCTCTAATCTTCTGGCGCTCACTCATATGACCTTATGCAGTTGTGAGTGCCGTAAAACCTCTGCTAAAACTAAAAAATATTTTTTTTTAAATTAATTTTTTTTCTCCTCTCTCCAAACACTCCTAATCGTCGACATGTATGTGACCTATTAAATTTGTGTTGCGAGTACCATACAATTCTAAATAAAATTGAACTTCATATTTTTTTAATCCACGCTCTTATGACGTACATTTATTTTCATTTTCATTTTTAGCCAGATCTGCCATCATGCATTTATTTCATAGGTTTATTTTGTACTATAATATGCTATCCTGCATTTATTCACAATTTTGTTTTTATGCACTGTCTGGAATTGTGCATTTGTTTATAGTTTCTTTTTTTTAACCCAATATTTTATCATTGATTTTTTAAATAATAATAATTTTTTAAAATCATCTGGTATCATGTATTTTTTAAATTTCATTTCATTTTTGTACTTTTCTTCGTCTTTCTAATTCTCTCTCTCTATCTACCCTCACAAAATTTCTCGCCATCCGCCACAGGACCGAGCAGGGAGGCGGACATCCTGGCAGAGATCTGCGACGGGGCGCCTGACGAGTACGAGAGTAGCGGGAGAGAGATGTTCGTGGTGTACCAACGGGGCGACGTGGAGGGCACGCGGTCCTTCACCCTGAAGTACTCTTCCAAAGAAGGTATTGGGTTTTTTTTTCGCTAGAGTTTTACTGCACTTACAACACAATAAGGTCTTATAACTGTCCCCGTCGTTTTATGCAAGAAAAATTCTGAAATTATGCAAAATGAGCCCAAAAATGTGAAATTATGCGATTCTGTTAATTTTAACAAAGAATGATAAAAGAAAATAATCAGAAATTATGCAAAAAATGATCAAATTTTGCTGAATTATGCGGGGTGCATAAAACCATAGGGACAGATATAAGTGCCGAAGATTAGTGGTGTTACCAGAGAGTAACAAGCACAAAAAAGAAGGAGGAGAGATAAAGACGCGAGATGTTTGATAGGAAAAAAGGGGCAAACCACACCAGAGCACCCGCCAACCACCCACAAAGATGGTATGCTGCACACTTTGCTGCCAACAAATAAGTAAAGAT